AGGACAATAATTCCATCTATATCAATAAAACTCGGCCAAATAGTTCAAGTTTAGGTAGCTGGAAGGTTCTGACTCATCAGCGAAATCAAGGGAGCTCTTCCATTGTCCCTCCCCGCCTTCCCACAAATATAATATAAGCCACATTGTGGAGACTGGGCCCTTTTATAGGGTTGGAGGGGGTCCCAAAAGGCGCAGATATTTTCTAACGTGGCGATTGGCTCAAATACATTAAAACATTACCTCATGGGCTTGTCCTACCCACTCTCAACCCTCCATTGGCCCATCTGATAGAGCGAGGCTAGATTCAAGAGTTTCAATAGATAGAAAGACCATATTTCCTAATTTAACTCAAACCTAATAATAAAATGATGCGCACACTCTTCAAGCCTGATGTGAGTTTAATTACTAAGCTGTGACATTGTATGAGGGTTCATTTTTCTACCCAGCCATTATCATTAATATAACTTATAAAGCTTAACATTCCTGTTTTCTTAGTTTTTATTTTTATTCCATTTTTATTCCTTTGGTGGTATAAAAACCCTGTTTTTACTATAGCAGCTAAAAGTTTTATACTCCTGCTGCTTATAAATTGTCAAATCCTGTGTAAAATAGCACTAAGTGAATGTTAATACCCCACCAGTTTTTGATAAGAGGAGCAAATTCCACAAATTCCAAATTGTACTAAAATTCAACTCCAATAACTGCTTTAATTCTGTACCAATATTAGATTCTTCTACCTTACTCTTCCTGTAAGGCTAAGCTAATGAAGAAAATGCATCTCCTGTTTTAGAAATTATGCAAGATTCCTTATATCTTTCCATAGTCATACGCAGAGAAGAAGCAAAACGGCATATTCCTTAAGAAGCTCACTCACTTTCTTCCTTTGCTCATGAGTCAATTATTTTTTAACAAAAGTCTTACTAGAGCTACCATGGGAGGCGTCTATAGCCCAAAATAGTGGAGACTTCCAAATCATCAAACATTATCCAAATGATTGACAGGTGTAGTATGTGACAAATTTACAATACTGCACAGGTAGTAGTTGAATCTTAAAAAACAATTTTTATCAAATTCTCCTTGATTGTAAGAACTCTGTCCTCTGGTAAGGTCAATTTTCCAGAATATTGTACAGAAAACTATACGTTAAATGTTTACTATCTTTCATTTATAGTCAATTCTTCTAGTAATTATTTTAAAAAGTAGATAAGTTTGGTCAAACGGTGCTTATTTATTATTATAAAAAAATTTTTTATAATCAATCTCATAGCTATAGAAAAGTGATGTCCCGAGTTAGGATCATATCATTGGGGAGCACAGTTGTAAATTGATACAATATGTTAATTGTATCCATTAACGGAGAAAAGCTGTTTTTAAGGGAGAGAACTGTCACATGACAATTCTGATGACTAGGTTGCCCAAAAGATGTTTTTAGCATTTATGCTAAAGAATGACCCAAATTATTTCAGGATCAGACTGATGAACCATTCACCCATATCCCTCCAGGTTTGAGCCTTCCAGAATTGGATGAACTGTTGCCAATTGAGCCTTTTCCCTTAAAAGGGCAAGGAATAATGAAGGATATTTGAGTATTTTCATGAGATAAGACTCTGTCTAAAAATCAGAGGCCGCCATCCAGATGCCCTCACATAATGGAAGGGCAACAAACCAGAAGCCAATCAAAGAAAGTGGCTGTAGCTCAACCCCCATACTGAATGAGATGCAAAAATCCTTAATGAAGAGGACTCAAGTGCCTCATCCACCACAAACCTAGCCGCCCTATAAATATTATAAGCTTTAAAAAAAGTGCATCATATATAAATTCCCTACTATAATATCTAACTTTACCTCTTCACATAGTTACAATACTTAGTATTGTATCCCAGAATAGTGCATATATACTGGACCATGAAGAAGAGAAAGCGCTATGTCTCTCTCCAACTATTCAGATCAGTCAAGCCATCCTGAAGACAACTCACAACTTCCATTACTACTGCTCCAGGCATCCACAATTTTTTAATATTAAGTTTTTCCTTGGTGAAAAACCAAAAGCTGGTTATCACTACAGGACGTTCTGAGCTGTAACCATTGAAAACGTCAATCATGAAAAATGTAAGATAGAGCTAATAATGGATATCTCCCCCAATGGGGTGAGGAGCATTGTTCAATATTTTTAAAAATTCACAATTAAGGCCAAATAATGCAATATTAGAGCCTAGAATTTTGGGATACCATTGAGTTCAACTTTCCTCTGCCAAAGCCCAGTCAGTTCTATCTTTAAAATGACAGACTAGTTGATACTATCAAGCAGCCATTGATGTGATCTGTTCTGCCAAATACTAGTCTAGTCATTTATGAGCATTTTCTATCTCCTCATATATGTGAAGGCTTTACAGCTTGGCTGCTTTATATATCAATGAGTTGGTTGGCGAAGAATAACCCTACCTGTGATAATATGTACATCCATATCTCCATCATATCCTCCAATTAGTGGGGTTAACTCATCAAGAAATACTACGCCAGCTGGGATTAGTACAGAGCCTTAACTTCAACATGTCAAAATTCATGAAAACGTGTATGCCTACATCTGTAACAATCAGGAAGCTATCTAGGACAACCGTTGCCTCATAAATGACACTCAAGGTCAAATTTGCCATGTTAAACTCTAGAATCTCTGGATAAATGGATAGCCACCATACTCAGTGACTACATGTTGTGGTCTACAAGGTACACAATTATTTTCATAATGCCGCTTTGTAGACTACCTCCCAAACCTGAACTTTGGAATCCATCTTGATGAAACAATTAAGTCGCATAGTTTCCCTGCTCAATCATCATCAGCACTGAAATGATACCATCATTTAAGGACCATGGGCCCAAGGCCTTAAAGATGCAAGAGGTCTCAAGGGGGCTGAGGGATGATCAGGCTCCAGAGGGCCCCCTGGCCCTGACCCCTGAGTCACCAGTTCCTCTGGCTGAAGGATAAGATAATCTAGGTTGGTGAGATGTTCAAAAGGCTGGTGGACCTTCAGAACAAATCAAAAGCATCCTCAAGGGTGTGGAATTAACCCTTATGTAAGACCCACTGATCATCCTATCACCTTAGATGCACTCAACTTTGGTTTGGAAAATGTATGGGAGTTCATGAAATTTTATTTGACAAACATTTCACCGTGATGAAACAAATTTATATATATTTGGAGGCACACTCAGCTTCTGTAAGTATGAAACTAATCTAAAATCTAAAATTAATCAGAAAGCCAATCCAGCATGCTCAATTAATGCTGGGACAAATTTCAGGTGACTTAGAGAAGATTTGAAGGCAAATGAACCAGAAGGCTCCTTGAAAGATATACTGAGTCAGTGTCTACTGAGCATAGCCAGTTTATTAAAGCTGGCATCTATTCCCTCTCCGCGCCAGGCAGATTAACTTTCAAGCCTAAGTTAAAGTAAAAATCCATTCCTGGCCAAGAAAGCATTGCGTTTTTTAAATTTTTGAGAGTGCTATGGAAGAGGCCACTGGTTGCCAAAAGGTCAAGCATATCCATTCCTGTTTGTATGGGTAAACTTGTGAGATTATGACCACCCACTTTTGTAAATGCCAGACCTGAGCCCGTGTCAAGACTGCTCTTTTACAGAAAATGGCTCTAAGACCCTCTCAAGTATAATAACGAGCCTTCAAGACCATTTGCCTTAACAAAGGAGAAACCCCTTTTGATTTTTCATGTCACTCATATGCTAGTGCGCAGCTGCTAGTTAATACTAAATGAATCTCTATAGATAGCTATTACAGCCATCCTTTCCATGCTCAAATATTGTCTTGATGTCCAGCTGCACATGATAGGACAAAGTGAACCATTACTAGAATCTGTGACATCAAAGAGGCACTCAACAAGATCCACGCAGCCACTTTGAATAAGTACTACTCTATCATTTGAGCCCTTCTTAGAACTAGAGTAAATTTTCTGGAGTCTAAGGATAAAGAAGTATTCAATTGCTCTTACTGCAAAGGCCGCTGACACACCAAAGAGGAGTGCTATAAACATTGAGAAGAAGAGATGGAACACAAACTGTTGTTTAGAGAGGATATCATGAATACAAATGCTCTTCATGCTGACAATTTCCCTGTCATGCCTCTATTCAAGTCTTAAATCCCCACAGAGGTCACCTCTTAGAAACGTGGAACTATGAATTGAACAATACTAATAAACTTATTGATTCTACTTGATCTTATGACGAGTTGCCAATGCTTTTCACCCTACCGTTTCAATTCGTTTGACTAATCAATCATGTAACAGTTAAGGATCATAACATTCCCATACTTATCATGATAGATAGTGGTTCTCCATATAACTAAATCTCATTTAAAATTGATGAAGATTAAGATTGTGCCTTATCTGCCCCATTACATAAAATAAAGCACTGATGGACCTCAGTGTACTTAGTCCATAGGAGCCTACTCTGCGCTTCCACTCCAGTTTGAGACGAAAAATTATACGCCTTGCCATAGATCTGGATACCATTAGCTATTAGTTACTTCTAGGCACCTAATTCCATAAGAATACAATGCCATGATACATTAAGTGGGAGGATTTATATCCTTGCTTGGTTCCCAAATTACCCTGGTATTTGAGACAGATATGGATATAGAGGAGTACGTTAAGGACAAACTTGCTTAATGGAAACCAAAATTAGAATGATCAGCTCAACTATCACATCTGAGTCTCACACGTGAAGCTACCCCTAGCATAGTGTATGGGGCTAAGGGTGGCCTGTATATTATATTATATTTATTTGAGGCAAGCCGAACATGGGATGAACATTACTAAAAAAGAAAGAAAGTAAACATTGGCATGAAACTTGAGCAGGATCAACTCCTTCATAGAAAGTTTTCCACCTTCAGATCGGGACTTGGGGTTTTCTGGTAAAGTAATGGGTAAGGCTTTCATGTTATTAGACCTACTAACTTCCAATAGCTTCTTTTGGCTGGCACCCAATTGATGTGTGAAGGGCGGGAATTGAACCCACAACCTTAAGGTCGGTAGCCATACACACTACTGACTCACCTTTTACCCCCAGGAAGCATGTATATTCACCAGAGGTAAATTTAATTCTCACAGGGTCACAGAATATAGTGGACACCCAAATTCATGTAAATACACCACATGGGAGCCTTCTGGAATCTGCTGGGCTGAAATCTAACTTTGAAAGAATTCTTAACATTCCTGGGTACCTTAACCCCACATACTCTGGCTCCATATCTGTATTTCTGGATAACCTGACTTTAAAGGCCTGTACAATTGACCCAAATATCCCAATTGCCTATCTACTCTTAGTACCAATCAATGATGTTAGCTGTTCCCATGGGTCTGAAGCCTTTACGACTTTAGTTCAAAAGAGCCTCCCACTGTAGCTTAATCACCTCCTCCATAGGGGAAGACCAAACCCCATAACAAAGGGGAAAGTTGATGAGCACTTGGAGAAATATTCTGACCTATTCTCCACATCCATGTATGGCTTCACATGATTAAGGGAGTTGTGCACAATGTGAAGTTGGGGCATGCTTCACCCCATACACTCACGCTACTACTGGAAGAGAAAGGTAGCAGAGGCCCAGGTCACCACCAAATCAAGAAGCTGTTAACTTCAGGTTGTTGGTACCCTCTTGGAGTCCTGGGCATCTCTTTTTTAGCACTAAATGGTCCCAACTTGAAGGAGGGATTCACCGATCTTTATTTAGCCACGCATAAGCTCCTAAGAGCTTGGGGCGAAGGCAGGGTTAAGAGAAGGTGTCAAGGAAGGTGGGGAAGGACTCGCCAGAGCCAGAGGTCTGCTTTAACTGACCAGTTGGCAAATAACATCATGGTAAATGCTTTCAGGCCATCTTGATTTGGACCTGGAAATGCATGATCACGTGGTGCAAGGTCCAATATTTGAGTCTAAGGTGGCGCTAAGGTATGAATTATGTGCTGTCCATATTGCTACGCCAAATGCCAAAACTTTTAGGGAGCGGAGGAAGTTTGGAAGTGACCGTTCAAACATTAAATATTGAACTGGATGTCCCCCAAGGCTCTGCATGAAGTATTCCTCGGATTTTTCCCCAAAAGGGGGCTACCTGGGGGCAAGTAAAGTATCTGCGGAGATGTGTATTAAAGAGCTCATCACATTGTGGGCAGCTCTTGTATTGGAAGGTAGGATATGTTCACTCACCTGTCCTATAGGAGCAGTGAATGACTCACCACAACGTGCTTGAGATCTAGCTGAAAGAATAGGGTTGTTGACATCTCTCCAGAGCGCCTTAAATTCTCATTTTACTTCGGGGGTAGGAGTCAAGGTGCTAGGGCTGAATTAGAGGCCTATACATTGAGTTAAGTCAGAAATGAACAATCTTCATTTGTGAACCAGGGTGTGTCAGCGAGGGCTGATGCCAAGTCTACTTCTGTATGGTAAGGTGTGGTACTACGATACCTAACCGCTTGTGAAACCAGGAGGGCCTGCTTTCAGTATATGCTTGATGATGGTTTTAGATGGTGACCTAGATAGTTCATTACCCATTCTCTAACAGCAGTCTATAAGGCTTGATGGAGCTCCAGGGAAGCCGATATTCCTTGACGTAGTGCCAGAGCCCATTGAGACATTGGATTCATGTACCAGAAGATAATGGGTATAAGGAATTTAGTCATTATTGAGGTGGCATTGAACCTGGTATTCAGGTGCCCCAAGCCCCCTTCGCTAGGGCCAGGATATTGTTTTCAGGACAGTAGGTGGAATTTGGATCCCCATATCCAGTTCCAAAGTATCACATTTAGCCTTTAATAGAAGCTATCTGTTAACGGGCAATGTGAGCAAGGAAGCACACCTTTAATAGATAATTACATTTGCCATCAAGGGCCGACCTTAGGGGGTAATTTGGTGCCAATTCCAACTTTCTATCTTGAGATTCATTTATTCCAGTATATGGACTTAATTGTCCTTGATTACAACCCCCTTCTAGGAGGTGAGGACACCTAGATGGCGAAAGGTACCGCAGGTGGGTTTAGGCTGTATTGAGAAAGAAGATATGCTTTCTGACATGTATAATTTTGGTTTCAAGGTAATAACTTTTGCATTGGATGCTTTAGAATAGCTGTTGTGGGCTACCTTTGCGAAATTCATGTCCTTACATCTGATTGCAACAGCTGTATCATCAGCAAAAGCTATAGTGTGGGTTGAGGCTTTACCCAGAACCTGGAAATCCTCCAGCTTTCCTTTACAGAGAGAAAAGAGTATATAAAGTTATGTAAAACAGGATTGGGCTCAGTGGACCTCCCTGATGGTGACCTTGTTCAACCTTCACTGTGGCTGTAAATTCCGTTGGGGCTAGTACTTTGGTTTGTAGATGATTGTAGAGCGCCAGGTTCCATATCCTATCTCTTAGTGGTATGTGAAGGCGTAAGAGGTAGGCGTCAGGATACTTCCAGGATGCACAATCATATACCTTCTACATATCTAAAAGCACTATGAAACAATGAGTGAGAGAGGAGTTGGCTATCAGGGCGCATAAAGTTCATTGTAGTTATTACACAATGACCTCCCTAGAATGAAGCCATGTTGAGTGAGGTAAAGGTGGGGAGATGGCCATATTATAATAAATTTTTCAAGAAGCTTAGAGAAGAGCTTATGATCTATACTAATAAGTGATATGGGTCTCCAGATTAAAGATCCTCCCAGCTCAATTTATTGTAGAATAGGATAGTAATCAACCATTTAAAAAAGGTAGAACCCCCTTCAACCAGAAGGGCCAAGAAGAGGGTATGAAGAGCCTTCATTACTGGCATAGGGCCTGAAAGTTATATTTCAAATGGAATTCTATCTGGGCCTGGAGTCTTCAAGCGAGGGTACCAGAAATTATTTCCATAGCCTCTCTACAAGTAACTGGGCTAGAAATTCATCCTCCTCTAAGGGTCCACTGAAACCTCTGGTGTTTTCCCAACAAGATCCTGAATGTATGAAGGGTTAACCTGGGAATCTTGGGAGAGGGTTAAGTAGCAGTTATGGATTTTATGAGTAATTTTTTCTTATCTGTGGTGATGTCATTTCCCACCATAATGTCTGTAATCTTCTAATCCTTTGAGCTGGCCTTTTGCTTTTTAAAAAAAATCTGGTTGTTTGTTCCTGATGGGAATAGTACTTAGAGGATGTAAAATTGAACGCCCTTTTATTTTGTTCAGTGCTTAAGGCGGTTGATCTCTTGTCCCTCTTTCCAAACTTCTATTTCTGAGGGGAAGAAGTTAGTTGGCAATTTTTTAATGTGATATATCTGTCTTCAGAACATATAACTTTGGCATAAGACGCTGTCATTTGGGCTTTAGCACACTTGTAGGCCACCCTCATGATCTTTGCCTTTGAATTTGTCCATTTATCTTTAGAGTTTTCAAATAAGGTGAGTTCAGGGAATTATAGTCATTAATGACCACATTGATATTCTCTTTTGCAAACTAACTGTTCAGAAGCCCTGGAGCAATCCTTGGCCAAAACCTCCGCAAAGGTCTTAGGATGATTGTAATAATCACTGTAAGAGATTTTTGATAATTTATAGTGTTATCACAGATTATGGGAGAGTTAACCTGACAAACTAGAATGAGGACTACTAGTGATATATCAATCCATGAAACAGGTCTAAATTCCTGACCTGCATACTGAATGCGAGACATGCAGCCAAGGCCAGATGCTGATGGGGGAGGGCATCAGTTAATCTTTCTTGACCTTAGGAAATCCTGAAGCTGAGAAGTTCTCCATCTGTCCTGTGTGGCAGGGGGAAGGGTGTTATGCACGCAAAATAAAGTAGTTATGAAATCATCCATAATCTTTGTGTTACATGGAAGTTTTAGTAGCGTGAGTTCTTTTAAGAGTTGATCTTGTTTAAGGCCTGCATTTGGAAGAGTTATGCTTGCTTTAAAGAAAGAAAACTCAGAATTGGATAACTTGGTTAAGATGTGGTGATCATCAAGATGTTTCTAAAATTGGCGGCTTTCACCTGGGAGGTAAGATCATGAGGCTGCATAGGTTGTCTAACAGGAGTTACCTCCAAATTGGAAATTCCATTTTTCTATTTCAGAGGGGGACATGGGGCTCATGGATGAAACAATATCTACGCAAGACAAACTGAAGTTGTGGAGGGATGAGATCTCCACTTGTACTCCTGCAGCCCAATAAGGTTGATGGACTGAAGGGTCAGGGTGCCTCTTTGGGGCCTCATAGTTGTCCCCCTCCATATCCCATGGGGTTAACAGAGCTTAAATCTGCATCTATAACGCTGCACATTTCTAAGTCTTTGAGCTTGACTCTTAGCATCAATATGAGCATATTAACAAAAAAGAAGGGGATTTGTTTTGAGTATAAGGGCCTGTGGAGCCTGTAAGACAGCCTAGGATATACACTAACTGCTTTGCAAGGGACCATCCTGAGGGTGCTCCATGGAATTCTCCATTTGGGCATCATCTGAAGTATCAGAGTCTATAAGAATCTCTTTCAGTATGGTGAATGAAGGTTTTGTTGTAATGCCATTTGATAGTGGAGTTTGATGACTTGGAGCATCCGCTCTACTTGGGGTACTCCATATCTGCTCCACTATCTTGTTTTTGTGCTTCCAAATTAGTTCTAAATGCAGCCATTGGGCTTTCTTCCTCTTGGATATCTTGATGAGAAGATAACTTGCGCAAATTTTGTTCTGGTAAAGGGGCCAGCAACTTAGTAGGGCGCTGACAGGAAGGGGATTTTTAGCAATAAGGGAGTATTTATGCACCAATGGCTGTGCCTTCTCAACTGTCACCTGAAGGGCAGTTAGGGTTAGATCCTGTACCAGTACCCAGTGGGTTGTTTGAGGGATCGCCGCTGCTGCTGTGCGAAAGCTTTTCTTACCTGTTATTATGAAATTGGTGATATTCTTTGATAAATGCCATAAGGATTACACAGGGTTAAGCCTTTGAGCAACGGACGGACAATATGGAGATCGCCAGTCCTCAAGATAATATTTAATAAATTAATATTAATACAAAGCACTTGCTTTGGCCAAACCACTTTAATCATATTAA